AGTGGAAAAAAGAAAAAAAAAAAGGCTTTGGAAGTTTATTATCTTTGATAAAATCTCAGCTGAAAGGGGCGGACTGTTAACAGCAAATGCACAAACCCCCCTCGTATCCAGGGGGAAATCCCATGGTTCGGCTGGTTTGTGGTGGTCGGGGGCTTTTTCTTTCTTTTTTTTTTCCACTTTTTCACCGGAAAAAGTAAAGCCATTAAATTTTCCAATGTTAAATGACACCGATGGAAGGTCCGACCCACGAGCGACGTCCAGTGAGAGGTTTGGTAAAGCGACGTTCTGATTAATTCGCTAAATCAGTTAAGAAAAGCTGAATTTCCTATACAAAATTACAATACAGAGAACATACAATTACAATACGGGGGTTTAACTGTCAGTAACTATTCACCTAGAACGGAAATCCCAGCGTAAAAAACCTGACAGAAATGAAAATAAATCGATTTTCTTCAGCTGTAAAGCTGGAGACAAAACGCCAAGTTCCAAGAGACACTTCTTTTTTTTCAGGTTCTTACCGTAAAATCCACGTTTTTTTATTAAAAAAAACTGAATTTGGTGAGGGAAATGAAGTTGCTTTAAAACAATTTCAGGTCCCGATGGGGTGAAGAACTCGGCGGTGAGAGGTAGAGGTGTCGCTGCAATCACAATCTATTGGTTTGTTCTGAGGTAATTAATTAATTGTGAGTCAACAATTATATTGGCAAAAGAGCAACATTGACTAATTACACTAATGACCTCTCTCCTCTCATCAGTAGGTCCTAAAAACTTAATTAGAGGCGTCGGAGTTGACGCTGCCCGGGTCTCCGGCAGGTGAGGTGATGGATGAGGGGGTGGTGGGGTCCTGCCAGCTGCCGTTGGCCTGCAGGACATTAAAACACAGAATTCACAGCCAGCTCCATTAAAGGTGGGGCAGGATCGGGGGGCTGGGGAACAAAAGCCCATCTTACGTCGAGGCGCTGCGTCGTGTACAGGGGGGTCCCCACGAGCGGGTCGTACCTGCCCGTCTGGTGGATGACGTGGTGCAGGGAATCCATCTGCAAACCCCACAGAGCGGGGCAGAAAAGGGCAAAAAAGGGTCCTTAAACGGGATTCTTTTCAGTAAGAATTTCAACGGGAATAATAATTTATGTAGGATTTAAATAAGGAAAAAAAGAAGGAAGAACTTCAGTGGTAACTTTAAGTGAGGGTTTCAGTGAGAGGAATTTTAGGAGAAGGATTTTAGATGAAGAACTTGAGAACAAGAATTTCATGAAGGATTTCAAGTTGAGGCTTTAAGGGAGAGTAAGGATTTAAGAACAAGAATTAGAATTTCCATAAGAATTTCCAGAAGAACTCTCTGGTTTTGCTGGCAACTGAGCTGTTAATTTGGGTCTCAGTTAATTTTACATGAATGAATTGATTCATCCCGAATCAAGGACAGAAATCTGGGATTTTCCCATTTTTCTCCATGCTGAAAGTCCCTATTTTTGTTTCCCTTACTGACCTGGGACTGCACATTGGCTCCCACAGGAGAGCTCTGGTAGGAGGTCAGTGACTGCAGGTTTATAAAGGAATCCCCAGAGCTGGTCATCTTAAAAGAGCCAGAGGAAGCTGGGGGGGAAAAAAACAAATAAAGGAATTTTTATTAAAAAAAAAATCAGTTTTTATGAGCAACCAACCCACCAAAAATGGTTCTTCAACGAGTCCCACGTGAGTCGGAGAGAAAAACAAATCCCACTGTGGTGTCAAGGGGCAGAATTCCACGTTGATTATCAGGAGGGATAATTGGGGTTCTCAGGAGGAATAACTGGGATTCTCAGGAGGGATAAGTGGGATTCTCAGGAGGGATAATTGGGGTTCTCAGGAGGGATAACTGGGGTTCTCAGGAGGGATAACTGGGGTTCTCAGGAGGGATAAGCAGGGTTCTCAGGAGGGATAACTGGGGTTCTCAGGAGGGATAA